CGGTCCGGCCCCGCGGCGCAGTGCCGCCCGGCCTCGCGGACCTGCGGAAACCGGGTGGGTCTGGGGAGAGCGACGGAAACGCTCGCGTTCAGGTCGTGGCCACGGCCGCACAGCCCTGTGCAAACCTCGCCGAATGTGAGCGGAGGGGTTGCAAATCACACTCGGTGCAGCAGAAGAAAAAATCAGGCAACTGTCAACTCTGCGAGTGTGGGCTTAAAGGGCTTCGATGGCTTCTGGCTGACCTCTGGCCTGAACGCTGCACAGAGGGGATCCTGCGCCCGCCGTGCCGCGGGCCTCCAGGGAGAGACCGGCAGGCAGGTGGGCCCTCGGGGTTAATCCGGGCTGAGGCGGGCTGGGGCGGGGCGAGCCCACTGACGGGCTCTAGCAGCGCCCAATTAAAGCCGGCGGCCCTCGGCTCCGCCCCTGTCCCCACCCCTTCCGGAAAAGCCACGCCCCGCGGCTCCCGTGGAGCCCTCGCTGTGCGGTGCGCTCTTCGCCTCCCAACGGGTGTGGACTCTCGGGCCGCGCTTCCGGGTCCCCTTCCTCTGCCGCCTGCCGGCCGTGTGCGTCGGGCAGAGCCTTGCCCTGTAGGCCTCAGTCGCCTCCCGCGTGCGATGGGCCGGCCGGGGCGCTTTCCCCGGGGGTATCGGTGAGGATGGCTTCCCTGCCAGCCGTCCATCTGCTCGGTGGCGGGGACACAGCTCCGGCGTCACGGTGCACAGCTGGAGGCACCCTGCCGAGAGCGGCCCTGGCCTTTGCGGTCACCGGTCAGCCTCACTCCCCGGGAAAGCCGGGTGTTCTCAAAGCAGGGCGGGCGGGCCGGGGCCTGATCTCGGCTTCCCGTCTGTGAAGGGGGCTGCTGGCCATACCAACCTCCGCAATGCCAGGAGGGAGAGGTGGCCCAGAGAGGATTCTGCAGTGGCCCAGGGCCACTAGCTGTCCTGGGAGCTGCCAGGTGGCCGTTGCTATCGGGCCGGGCCTGCGCTCCTCTGTCCTGACGCACCGTGGGGCTTCACTCCGCGGTGGCTGCAAGGCCGGAGTGAGCGCTGCCCAGAGCCCCTCGACACAGGCTCCTCGCTCAGTAAATGGTGGTCATCATTATTCCTCCCCTCACTGTTGCCTGTGCACCTTGGGGTCCCTGCTCCCCCGCCAGGTTCACTTTGCTCAACCCACCTCACCCCTGCCTCTCCAGTGGGGAGCGCCCCCCCCCTCCTGGGGACCCACCAAGTGCTGCCCATCTGGGATGGCGAGATTTCTGCTCGCTGGAGCCGGGGCTTGCAGCCCACATATCCTACCTCTAGGGGGCGTCCCCCACCCACTGTTTGTTTGGACCCTAATTACGGCTCCTGTCTGAGGAGTCTGCTGGCGGGAAGCAAGCGATGGCTTGTTCCCTGGGCACCTGGCCCACCCATAGGTCGCCAGTCACAGCATTTTTAAAGGAAGTCCAATTCTTCAGAGGGGGCATATGAGGAATCGCTGTGATGACCACGGAGACATTTGTCCCGCCCGGGTGTGGCGGCTCTGTGGTCAGCTCCATTGATCCTCACAGCACACTGTCCCGGTACTATTACTGTCCCCACCATGTCACCTGTAGGGTTAAGCTGGGCCCGGGAGAGGTGGGGAGCCCTGGGATGCCGGGCGCAGCTGCTGGTCACTCCTGGCCAGTGTGTGGGAGGGTCTGGCTTCTTTTTGGGGTTGCCAGACTTAACGTGTAAAAATAGAGGACACTCAGCTACAGTCGAATTTCATATAAACAACGAGTAATTTTGCAGTATAATTATTGTCTCCAAAGTTGCATGGGATATGCCTGTAGAAAAATTATTCATTATTTAAAGTTAAGATTTAATTGGTGCCCTGTATTTTATCTGATGATCCTAGTCCTGAATTTGCCTAAATTACCTTCGAGTCGACAGCTTGATTTGTCCCAAAGCACGGGGCCCGCCAAGTCCATGTTCATTAGAATTCGCAGAGGGAGTGAGGGATTCTGCTGTGACGGTCGAGGGGAGACCCTAGGCCCTGGCTCTCTGGGGCTGATCTCGTGGGTGTGGAGGGCCCCCCAGGGCACACAAGACTCGATTTCACCACCTCTTGTCTTGATGGACAGAGTCTTTGTACCTGGGTGCTGTGAGAAGCCCCTCTGCGCTGGAATCCTGCCCACCCGTGCACCTCGTGTGTCGGGGTGGGGCCGGGCCACGGAGAGAAGGAGGGCACGTTCCGGTAGGCCCGGGCTTCTCCCGGTGCGTGTGGCCAGCCGAGGGTGTGTCAGAACTGCCAGTCCGCCCAGGCACGCATCTGCACGCGCATCTGCACGCGCATCTGCACGCGCATGCAGCACCTGCTCTGCCGAGTCTGTGGCAGGGGAGGGGCAGCGCTGTGAGCAGCCCTTTGGGGGTCTCGAGGTGAGGACCGTGGGGGGTGCCGCCCGCCTGCCTCCACCACAATTCTCAGGTTGCCTGAAACGGGTGGGGGGCCGGGCTGAGCTGCTTCTATCACCGTTTTACTTTCCGGTTTCTCAGGGGAAACCAGCCTACTGGGGGACATGTGACCCCTCAAGCCCTTGGCCACGGCTCTTTGGCCTTACAGCCAGGCCCTGCTGGAAGGACCTTTGTCCAGCTGGCAAATGGTGGCTGTGAGAGCCGATGGCTTCTCCTTCAGCTGCAGGGACCGGGCCGTCAGGAAGTGACAGGAGGGTCTCCTGGTTATTCTGTGCCGGTGGCCGTTATCGTCGCCTTTGTGTTGGGGGAACGAGGCACAGGAATGCTGGGTAACGTGTCTTCTATGCCAAGTGGGGGGTGTCAGGCTTTGCACTCTGCCTGTGTGACCCCAGAACGCCAACCTGACTCTCACCTTCTCCGAGAGCGGGGGTCTCCCGCGGGGCGCTGCTCACTTTTCCCTGCTGGGACTGACCAACCCAACCCCTCCTCCCTCCCTTCTTGTGGCCCCCAGTTTTCAGGAAACCCCTTCTCCAGTGTTGGAGGGTGGGGTGAGATGTGGGAGCCCGGCAACGAGGGCGACCTACTGTAGCCAGGTCACTCGTCCCCAGGCGTGACTTCGCGGGCAAGGTGAACCATGGGGCTTAGTCTCAACTTCTCAACTCCACGTGGCCCTGCCCCGGGGGGCAAGGACAGGGCCCTTGATCTCCAGAGGCTGGTGTTTTATGAGGTCAGCTCTGAAGGCCCCAGTCTCCTGACATGACTCAGACCGACTCCAGCACCACCCGTGCCCTGCACGCACCCGCCCCTTCCCCCGCACGCCCTGCTCTCTCTCTTTTTTTTTTAAGATAAAGGCTTTTACGCAGCCATCTGATGGCAAGTGTCATGCATCATTTCCCGCTGTTATTCTCATCTCCTTGGATCTCTTAGAGACCTGGGATGATTACAGCTTCGGAATGCCACCGGACGGTGATGTGATAGTCACAAAATGCCACGGGGGCTGTGCCTGGGTTACTAATCATTTCAGCTTTCAAGTCAGTTTCAAGGGGACTAGCAAGGGGCCAAATCTGTTTTAAAAGATGACTCTTTCTCCATTAATTCAGCTCCCAAAGGCCAGCGCTGCATGTACAACAAAAGGAAAAGGTTCTTCGGGTCAGTGTGGAGAGTGGCTAATGCTCTCTTTGTAAAAGGGAGAGATTCTTTTTATACGGAGGAAAAGTCATTCTGAAGTAAAATTCCCTGCACTTTCCCTGAGCCGGACTGCAGCATCTGTAGGGTACCACACATCTCCTTCACTGTCCAGCCACCTACCCCTCCCTCCCTCCTTCTATTCATCCATCCATCTGTCTGTGTGTCCATCTACCCACCCATCCATTCACCCACCCATCCATTCACCTATCCATCCATCCACCATCCACCCATCCATCCACCATCCATCCATCCACCATCCACCCATCCACCCATCCATCCACCATCCATCCATCCACCATCCACCCATCCACCCATCCATCCACCATCCATCCACCATCTATCCATCCATCCATCCATCATCCGCCCACCCACCATCCCGGAGGCCACAGATGCTCACGTGGGATTTTCTGCAGTCTGTGGCTGCACCCATCTTTTGGCTCATCCGACAGCCGCTTGTCTCCCCCAGAGCTGTACATCTAGGCCGACCCAGTTTGCTCCCCTCACCGCAGTCACAGCAAAGGCTCGAATATTCTTCTATCTGTGTCCCGTTTCCTCCCCCACCCGATGCTCGGCCATAGAGGACAGTTTCCTGTAAGAACCGACATGCGAGTTTCCCATAGCCTTCTCTTTGCCACCTCTGCTTGCTTGTGGAGTTGGGGCCGGGCGCCTCTGTGGGGTCTCGGGCTCCAGACAGCCCAGGGGGCAGCTCAGGAGCCTTCATGCGGTGAGCCCGGGAAACCCTGACCACGGAGGGAGGGCATCCAACCGCAGGCCAAGCCAGGACATTGGTCCAAACTACATCCTTTGCGCCGGGAAACCCTGACCACGGAGGGAGGGCATCCAACCTCACGGCGTGGTGGGCCCGCAGGCCAAGCTGGGACGTTGGTCCAAACTACATCCTTTGCGTTTTGACACAAGCCACGCATTTCCAGAACTCAGGGTCCCAGCGACTGGCCAGAGGAGGCCCCGTGTGCTGAGGAAGCCCTTTCTCCCGAACTCGGGTAGGAGGTGGACCCGGGATGGTCAGCCCATCTGGGCACAGACCTGACAGCTCGAAGACTGGGCCTGTGTCACAGCTGGACGCTGGGGGTTACGAAGATCCCTCGGCAGCGACGGCCACCAGAGCAGGTGCGCACCAGTGGGTGGCAGCCACAGCTCCCAGCAGTGGAAGGAGGGGGCCGGGGGGGCAGGGGTCCCGGTCGGGGCCATGCTGGGCTGGAGTGCGTTCCTGTGTCCTGCTTCACTGCAGCTCCTTCGTAAGCAGCCATCGGGGCGCCATGGAGGACGGGGCCTGGCTGGCTCCGGAGCTCAGCACAGTGGGGCTGCGTGGGGCGCACCGCTCAGAGGCAGAGCAGAGGTGGGAGGCTGCCGTGGTCAGCTTTGGGAGCAGGGGAGCAGCCAGAACGGGCCAGCCTGGGCCAGGCTAAGACCCCCGAGGGTTCAGGGTCCATTGAGGTCACCCTTGTGAGTAACCCAGAGAGACAAGAGAATCTGCCTCCCACACCTCTCGGTGCTCCAAGTGGGTGAGGCCAGGGCTGCTTCAGCTACAGAAGGGGGATCAGGAGCTCAGGGTGGAAGGCGCCCCTTAAAGTTCACTTCCCACTGCTGCTCGGGCTGGATTCCTGCACCAGCCAGGGGCTGGGGGGACAGACGGTGTGGGAACACGGGCTGCTCTTGGCCCTGCTCCATCTGTAAACTGGGGACAACAAGGGAGGCCATCTCCTGGGGCTGCCGGGAGGCTCGGTAGGGGCCAGAACATGCAGGACAGGGCCCTGAAACTGCTGGGTGAACGCAGCTTCCCGAGCCCCCTCCGGGTGCCCCGATGCAGGAACCCCCTGAGAACCAGGGAGAGCACGGGGCTGGGCTGCCAAGGCCTGGCACCAAATGTATGGCACGATGAAGTGAGCTGTAGGGACGGGGGTTGGGGCCCCTGAGGGCTGCGGTCAGGTGTGGGCGGAGCACGTGGGTGCACGGGCCCTGGAGGGGCTCCCAGCCCGCCTCAGCTCTGGGGTCACCTCGGGCAGTCCGGGGTCTGGACATCAGGCAGGAGGGTCTCCGCCCCGTAAGGCAGGATGTGGGGCTCTGCTCGGTGGTCAGGGGCCGGGTGCTCTGGTGGCATCTGCTGGCATCTCTGGTCGGTGGCCTCCCCGAGGCCCATTGGAAGCATCACTTTCTAATGCAGACGAATGACGGGGCTGCTCAGAAGAGCCTGACTGCCGGGAGAAGGAACGAGAAGGAGCTGAGTGATTAAGGGCGACGCGGGCCCCGGGGAGGTAATTGATGCCACCGGGCTGGGCCAGCAGCATTGCCCGGGCTGACCCCGCTCTCTGTTGGATGCCAGGGTCCCATCCGCAGGGCCGGGCCGGCTCTCGGGGGCCTGTCACGCCAACCCTCATCCACGTGTCCCCAAAGAGCTTGGAATAAGACCCACAGCCGCGTCGTCCTGCCAAGCCCTGCCGTCCAGCCGGGTCCACCTGTCCTCCTGCTGCCCCTGGCTGTCCGGCTCTGGCCACATGGGTGTCCCATCCCGGTGCCCCACCCTGCCGCTCTCCCCAGGTGCCCTCGGCTGCCCACCCGAGACCACCTCCTCTGCTTGTCTTTTATCCTGATTCCCGTGGTCCCCCGCCCCCAGGAGCCCGAGGGCCCTGGCCGCTTGCTGTGTCCCGTGCATCAGGGCTCAAGAGAATCTGTCTGCGGGAACCTCTGCCCACTTGGCAGGCTCTGGGCAGAGGCCCAGGTTGCCTCCCTGGATTAGAGCCACCACGGCCCGGGGTGGGCGGAGGGGCCCAGTCTGGCTCCCTGTGAGGGCCCAAAGGTGATGCGGCCGATTTTGAGACGGAGTCCCCACATCCCCACAGCCAGGCTCCTGGAGGCCTTCGGGCAGGAGAGGTGAAAATGCGGTGCTCCTCAGCCCTCCAGGGAAAAAGCTTGGTTGGAAGAATAAGGGACAGTAAGGCGACTCCCACGGGAGGGCAGGTGCGCTGACGAGGGGTGTGACCGCTGCCACGGACCTCACGGACCTGCAGCTGGGGGTGCCGTGGGGCGGGGCCCTGCTGAAAGTCTGCGTGGAGCCGGGGGACCCAGCGTGCCCTCTGCTCTGCTGCTGACCTTGGGGACACAGGCAGGACTTCCCCTCCGAGACTCAGTGTCCCCTGCCCTGTCTAACAGCAAGGAGACCGAGGCACGGACGGGCCCAGGGACCGCTGACAGGCCACACAGCTGGCGAGAGGGCAGTCGAGGTTCGTGTGTCCCTTCCCTGCCTCCACCCCCTCCTAGCTCTTCCCACGTCACGGTCACCTCTTCCTGTCCCCGTCCCCTCCCTCTGGCCCTGTCAGGCTCATCTGGGGTGAAGGCTTGATAAGGAAAAGGGGAGTATAAATGCCTGCTGTCCCATGCCAGCCCCTCGTCATACCCCCACAGGGTCGTCTCCATCCCCGAGCTCCCACAGGGTCAGCTGCGGCCTGAGGAGACACGGCGCATTCTCTGCATGGACGCTCCGGGGACCAGAGCCTCGAGACTGCGACGACAGGCCATTTGCTTTGGGGTACATCTGACAGTCATAAAGTTAACTTTGTGTCGAAAAAAATGGCTTTGCGATGCACAGAAAAAATGGAACAGCACATAACCTGATGGCGTGTGTGCCTGTGTGTGTACACGCGCGCCTGTGTGCGTGTGTGCGCGTGCATGTGTGCGTGTGTACGTTGTGTGTGTGCACGTGTGTGCACGTGTGTGCTTATACGCACTGTGTGTATGTGCGTACGTCTGTGTGTGCATGCTTGTCTGCATACATGTGTGCCTTAGTGTCTGCAGGTATGTGTGCATGTGTGTCTGTGTGCATAGGTGTACGTGTGCATTTGTGTGTGCATGTGTGTCTCTGTGCATGTGCATGTGTGTGCACCTGTGTGCATATGTGTCTGTGTGCACACGTGTGTATGTGTACATTTGTGTGTGCATGTGTGTCTCTGTACACATGTGTATGCATGCATTTGTGTGTGCATGTGTCTCTGTGTATGTGTGTGCACCTGTGTGCATGTGCGTGTGTGACTGAGTGTCTGTGTGTGTATGTGCATGAGTTCCTGTGTACACGTGTGTGTACATGTGCATTTGTGCATGCATGTGTTCCGTGTGTCTGTGTGAGTGTATGTGTGTGCCTGTGTGTCTGAGTGTGTCTATATGTGTGCCTGTGTGCATGTGTGTGTGCGTGTGCACGTGCCGTGTGCACCAGTCAGATGTGTGCATGTGTGTGTGCGTGTGCGTGTGTGTGTGCACCAGTCAGGGATGGATGTGCATGTACCGCGGCGGCTGGCCCCGCCCACCGTGCCGGGCAGGATGCTCAGCCATCTGCCGCGTGGCCATGTCTGGCGGGGCTACTGGAGAATTCACTCTGTATTACATATTCTTTCATGTTATTTCAAAATTTCCTGAGAGAGTGAATCGCTTTCATGGTTAAAGAAAAGGGTGTTGCGTCTGCACAGGTGACGTGCTCACGGCACTGGCAGGCGGGGGTACCGGTGGGGTGACTCTCTGCAGCCCCCCAGCCTCGCTGTCACCCGCTCCGCTCCTGGTTCCAGCCCCTCCCCGACCTAGAGGCCGAGCTCACACTCCTTGGAGGGTAAAGAGGCAGGCAGGGAGATGTGGACCGCGGGGCGAGCGACAAGGTGGCACCTGGCGAGAAGCTCATTGTCACGCGAAGCAGGGAGGTGGCAGAAGTGCCACCATCGTCACTGCCCTGCTGGAAGTCCCGGCGCAGGCGCCAGTCACTGGGGCTTCCCATCACAGCCGCGGGCGCCCAGCGGGGCAGGCCGAGTCCCTCGCTTCCTCGCGGAAACGCTGGCCGGAAGGGCCCGTGTGTATTCACGCGGCTCCAGGTGACCGTGGCTCTGCCGTCTGCCCTCTCCCGTGCTCGGCTGGAGGGTTTGCATTTTCTCATTTCACCTGACACACCGACCCCATGAAGACAGCCCCCGTGCCCACCGGGGGAAGCCCTGCCTGGGGAGCTGGTGGAGACTCCGCGTGTGTCTGGCACCGGGGGCCTCTGCCCAGCAGGTCCTACACTCAGCCGCTGACTCTGAGGGCCCTGTGTGTGCTGAGTGAGGCCTGGCCCTCGAGGACGCCCTGTCAGTCTTGAAATAGGCGGGGGGCAGCAGGGGATGAGCTGAGGGTTTGTGCTCCAGGCCCTGGGGACTAGCCCTGGTTCTGGGCCTGGCTGTGGGTTCCCTGATCCGCCATGTGTCCCTTCCTCCCTAAGGGACAAGGGGAGGTGGGACTGGAGAGGCCCTGGGCAGTCAGGCTCCTGTGGTTTGCTGACAGCCTCCCGAGCTGGACCGCAGGCTGAGAACTGGCAACCTCTCAAAGCCAGGAGGCCCCCCACGATGGGCGGCAGCCCCTGCGGGCCCCTGGCTCTGCCACGCCTTGCTCGCGGGCGCTGCCCCGTCACAAATCCCGTCATAAATTCAGCCCGGACATGGTTTCCATGGTGCTTTGATAAAAATTGGAATTCAAATCATAGCTGTGGGGAGCGGTGGGGTGGTGCTGGGAGGAGGGATGCGGCTGGAGG